CTTTGAGTGACCTTGTGTTTAAGGAGAGTTATGGTTTGGAAGTGGTGTCCCTCAAAAGTTCATGTGTGAGACAGTACAAGAAGGTTCAGAGAAGAAAGAATTGGGTTATGACAACCTTAACCCAATCAGTACAATCATCACCTGATGGGATCATTAAGTGGTGCCTGAAGGCGGGGTTTATTAAGTGGTGCCTATGGTGTGGCTGGAGGAGGTGGGGCATGGGGGGCATAGCTTTGGGGTATATGTTTGTATCTGGCAAGTAGAGTCTTTCTCTCTGCTTCCTGATCATCATATGAGCTGCCTCTCTCTGCCACACTCTTCTGCCATGATGATCAGCCTCACCTTGAACCCTGAGGAATGGAGTCTGCTGTTTATGGATTGAGACCTCTGAAACCATGAGCCCCCAAATAAACTTTTCCTCCTCTACAGTTGTTCTGGTTGGGTCCTTTCAGTCACAGCAGCAAAAAAAGCTGACTAAAACGAGGAGTGTGGGGAGGGGGCATGTCTACAGCTTTTTTTCAAGTGGATCAGAAATTGGGGCAATTTACATGAAAAATATTTGTGAGCTTTATTATTTCTTCAACTTTAATGTGAAGTTGAAATTATTTCAAAATGGTTAAAAAGCAAAAACAAAACAAAACAAAAAAAACCAAAAAACTCCTAGGCCTTGGGCCCAGGGAAGTGACATTGTCTACCTTCTTCAGGTAGAATGCTTTTACTTCTGTCTGCTTGATGAGAGAACCATTTTCTAAGGGTATTAATCTAGATTAGCAGTTCACTGGGCAGCCGCATATCCGCACCATGGGCCTCTACAAGAAAGTGCATTCCAGCCTTCTGACAACTTTCAGACCTAATCTTTGGGCAATTTACTTACTTTCCTTTTTTTTTTTTTATTAGTGCAGTATAATTATACATAATAGTGGGATTTTTTTGTTACTTATTTGTACATGCATATAATACAACAATGTAATTTGGTCGATTTCTTTCCCCAGTATCCCCTTTCCCTGCCCTCCTGGGGCATCTTGTGACCTCTCAGCCTGCCAAGCAACAGTGAGGCCCAATGAACAGTGCGTAAACTGTTCTTTACAGTTTTATGGAAGGCAAGGATTAAGTTAATGCATAGTAATGTGGATGGCTAATGATCTGAATAATGTTACTCAATGGCAACAAAAAATGTCAACAATGTTACTAATGTCAACAAAAAGAGTGAGGGGGCAGTGGTGGTGGAATTCTCTGAGGGGTAGAATTTAGGAAATGGAAACAAAAGGTGGTTTTGAGAAAAAGGAGCTTCCATAAAGGCAAACTGGCTTTCCTTTGACTTTGTAGTCTAATCTTCTGCACTTAAATTGTTTTGAATTAAATTGGAAGATCTCTGATCTTCCAACCTAGAAAGCACTCCATTTCCCTTTAAGATGCTATGGTTAGGAGCTTTCCAAGGGTTGCCTCCCAAAGTCCAGAAGTTTTCTTCTTTTGCCTCTTGTTGGACACTGCCAAAACCTAACAATGGTGGGCATTTGACCACTGAGTCACATCCCCAGCCCTATACTGTATTTTATTTAAAGACAGGGTCTCACTCATTTGCTTAGCACCTTGCAGTTCCTGACCCTGGCTTTGAACTCACTTTTCTCCCGGTCTCAGCCTCCCAAGCTGCTGGGATTATAGGCAAAGTTTTAATTCTTAAATGATTTTTCTTTCAATTCTAGAAATGGAAAACCTGCCATTCCATAAAATAAGTGTTCCCTAAAGCTTTAATTCTACAGGTTTAGAATTTTGTCATGTCCATTATTTATCTTTTCTTATTCATTTTAGGCTTTCATTTTTTTTATCCTCCCTCATCTTAAGTACTTACTTTTCTACCAAAGCTACTAAAATAATTAGTATGTATTTTAAATCAGCATTCAAAGGTTAACTTTAAAGTTATTTACTTCCTTACATGATGTATGTATATATAATGATACACATGGAAGTATATGTGTGTGTATATTATTTATATTATATATATGTATGTATATGTGTGTGTGTATATATATATATATATATATATATATATATATATATATATATATATATATATATATATTAGCTTT